ATGGATCCAGGCGGGTTTGGAGCAAGGACGAAAAGGTGGACGACCCACTTGTGGCTCACCAGACAGGGGTTTTAACAAAACAGAAAACACTAAGAACACAACAAAACTAAAAGGACCATGAGGGGTCAAAAATAAAAGGGGATCAACAAAGACTACATTTACAAAAGGGTGAGACAGGCAGGTTACAAACAGAATGTTCAAAACTAACATTCAACTAACACAAACAATGAACCACTTGGGACTAAAACTCAGGCAGGAACTTAAATACAAAAACTGAACAGGGTAATGACAAGCAGGAGTGAGACAGACAATTAACCAATCGGGGAGGGTGCAGGACAACGAGCAATCAGGAAAACACACAATGGCAGGCAACAGGTGAAGCTAATAAACTAAAACATGAAACACAAACTAGAAACAGGATCTAAGAATGAGGAAAACTGATAAGTAAAAAACACAATCAAGGGCAAAAACCAAAACCGAATACAATTGAAAACACAGGGACTAGAAAACTGATACAACTGAAACACAAGGGAACAAAATCTACAAAAACAGAGGAGGCGGGAATCAAACATAAGACAGAGGGGATCACAGGCAGCCACATGCTCAATGCGTTGAGCCATGTGGCTGACAGGGAACAAGGGAAAAGAAAGACTGACAATACGAGGGACAGGATGACCAGCAATGCCTGCTGGCCAAATGGGGAAGGGACACAGCATGGAACAGGAGTCGACCCTGACAGTGTGTTACTGATGGGCTAACTTTCCATACTTTAATTTTCATTCAGCCTGTGTGTGTAGGAAGAGAGACAGGATGTGCACACTCTCTTTTTCTCAAAAAAAAAAAATGATGCACAGTGAATTCGGCATTCATGTACTTTCCCATGCAAACCTGAGATCTGTGATACAGCTCAGATTTTCCACTGCCTACGCATGAGTGTTTCAGTAAGGTCGTCCGGAGGTCTGCTTTTCTTCAGACCACTTTCAAGATGTACAGTATTACATTGTTTTTTGTCCACCCCCCCAAATGCCTTAAGTGCTTGTGGTTGGGTTCATAACCTTTTTGTGTCATGGAGAATACATGAAATCACGCATATTGGTAGTGTGATTAAGCCTCTAGAGACCCAAATTTCCAGTTAGAAGTTGGTGAAAATAAACATGCAATTTTTCCCCCGTCCGACTTCAGGGACCACCTTAAATCTCTCACGCTAAGAACCCCTGACAATTGCACTGCGTTTTCATTTATACCCTTGACAAGTCAGTTAAACACATCTGGCTTGTATTAGCCTTCGCAAAATGTTCCACTACATCAGCCAAGAAGAAGGAGAAGTGGAAAACATTCTGAGCTTACATACCCACTCTGGTATTTGCTGTTCTGTGCCTGGTTATGCATTGCCCTGATAATTATCTTGTGTTATTCTTGTATTTTCAGTGCATTAACTCCTCCCATGCCAAACACTGCCTACTCGCAAGCTGGCAGACAGTCTGCCTAATAGTTATGATTCCTACCATCTGATTTAATGTAAAAGTGGTAGTACGGGTCTTCAGGCACCTCTCACAAGTCAGCCGACGTAAGGTGAGGGTTTGTCCACTTAGTAAATCAAGCCCCACACAGCACCACGTATTTATTTCAATGTTGAATTATAGTTACATTTATAGTTGAATTATGGTCAGTGTTAAATTATCAACGTTGAAACCAAATTGATTTCTTGTCAGATTTTCAATATTGAAAAACTGATGGTGGCAAAACCTTGATTCAATGTTGATATGAAGTGAAACATTGAAGATCAACATTGTTTCAACCTTTTTGTCTGATATGGAATCAATGTCATTTCAACATATGTGTGCTATCTCGGGGTGTCCTCATCAGAAGATCAAGCAACATTTCCGTTATAATTGTTGCCCACATTGCGAAGTGTTATAATTCCCCACACACAAAGTTCAGCGAACTTTTGCAGGTCACGAATGTTATGTGGATTAATAGAGTATGCACGAACACACAATGAATGTTATAATGTTACTCGCGACTTGGCGTTTATTGAACACATTTTAAAGCCAGAACCAATGAGAGGGAGAACTGAGCAATGGTAGAAAAAAACTTTCTTCGACTCCATTTTGTTCAGCGCAACAACTTTTTTTTTTTAATCGGGCGCAGCAGAAATTTCCGAATGAAGAAAACTGGACTTTTGGGCTCATTGCTTCAAAACGTGTGCATACATCGCCATCTAATGGGGAACACAAGTACTGCATTAGAAACGCCGATTTTAGAATAAGGCGCTGCAGGCTTCAATGAATTCACGCAACTGTGTGTATTGTTATATAATACATTAACAGAGTTTTATTTTTAAGTATTAAGAGCATGACTTTATATAGTTTAGACAGAAGTTTCACGTCATCAGTGTAAATCAAATTCCTTTCCTGCTGATTGGTTCCACGGCTGTTATTTCTAAGAGCATTTTCGGTGTTTGTTTATACAGTTTCATGCTGCAAATCACCATTCTGATATACAGTGGTACCTCAGAACTCGAACTTAATCCGTTCAGAACTCGGGTTCGAATCCTAAAAAGTTCTGATCGAATTTTCTAATCGAAATAATGGAAAACCAATTAATTGGTTCCCGGCCACAATAAACTACACCTAAATATGTTTTTAAGCATTTAAACACAAAATGAACAGGGTAAAACAAGAAGAGCATTTTTTTCTTAATGGCTTCCAAAACGATAAAAAATGTACCCCAACATTACCCCTGTCCTGCCCCAATCGTCCGCTCCTTCCGTGTGCCACGCCCCCTCGTTAACCCCGTGTGGAATCCCCGTGTGATCAGCTATTTCTGGTTGTTGTCATTAGTCCTCTGTATTTAGTCCGCGTTTCAGTTTTTTTCCCCAGTCCGGTCATTGCAACGTTTTTCTGCATGTTCTTAATTAAACCCCGTGTTTCTCGATCGCTTGAGCCCTGTCGATCCCTGCTTCCACGGTCCTGCTTGGCAGATCGTGACAACCCCAACTTCCTTAGCCATGCCCCAACACTGCCGCAGCACTAGACTATGCCATGCTCCATTGTTTATTTTTATTATTACTCTGTATCCGTTAATTTGTTCGTGAATTGCAAACTTTTAGGTTGTAACATTTGTACAGCTATTGCTTAACTTTTTGGTGAGCAATGGCAAAATGATATAAAGTACAGTGTATTACCTGATACGGTATTTTCAATAAAAAAAGCACTATCACCAACAAACGATGATATCACAGCGAATGCGAGGCTGAGACTGAAGCGTTACCCTTCTTTCTGCTGAGAGGCGCCCGTACAAGTTATCTTAGATTGGCGTTCACGGTTTGACTTCCGAGATTCAGATCGAGTTCTAGGTCATTTTTTTCCGAACTGGTTGGTTCGACTTTTAAGAAATTTGAGTTCTAATGAGTTTGAGAACTGCGGTACCCCTGTATATTAAACTGCTAAAATTTATCCCTCCAGCCAATAGAATGGCAACTTTGACAACAAAAGTAACAAAACTGACACAGATTATATAAAAACATATATTTATTGTTTTATTACTAATGATTAACTTGATCAACAATTACTGGCAATACGCCAAGAGATATAGACATATATTGAAAGCCATTTGGGCTGATCTGCATGTTCAGTGGCTATTAAAATATATAACCGGTGAGCTCCGGCAAAACCCATTGCTGACCTCATCACCCAGGAGTGTGACACGTCATACTGACTTACTTTTCCAAAACCTCTTTTCACTGTCTGTTGTTTGTGAGTGGCGGGCATTAGTTGTGCAAAATAGGTATCTTTCCCCAAACACGTGGGACACCCCCACCTAACTTGTGCTAACGCTCACTCCCCTATTACCTGGATCTATCATCTGAGCCCCCTCTCCCCCAGCATGGGGTGTTACTGTCACAAAAAGTAAAGCTTTAAACAGCAAAGTTTAACTCGTACATGAGCTCATATCTGTGACAACAGTCTTTGTACTCGTGCAACCCAGACTGTCAGTACTGTGGCACCTCCCCAAGTTAGCACTGTAGATGTCAGCTAGATAGAAATGCAAGGCAGCTTGGCGTCTGGTGCCCGAACAGACCACTCTTGCTTCTTGGTCCATCACCAAAACAGCAGAGACCTGCAGTCTTTGAACCAGAGCCATGGCATATGTGCGTGCTCGGCGATCCGTGACCGCGTCGGAAGGGATTTTTATTCGCTGGTTAACCGCAGTGCGTTCGGACACTGGGGAGAAGCCAGCGCCAGCCACACAGTACACACATGCCGGGACTTTTATTCTCACATATGCAAAACCCTCGTGTGACACTGATTTATGAGGCTGGGGTTGGAGTGTAGAAAGGTCCGGAAGAGAGGAGCAGTGGGAGTGGATGGGTGTGAGGAGCAGGCAGGCCAGTGGTTATGATGCGTTAATTTGAGCGACTGCGCATAGTGGTTCGCCATGCCTCTGCATTCCTGATGCCAGCACTAACCTGAATAATGCATAACGAAAAAAGTGAAAAAGAAAAACACAACAGCAATGCCAGAATAACGAGCGTTTCTTCAGTCCACTCACCTACTCCAGGCCTCGGAAATTGATGGAAAGTGACACCGGACAAACAGAGGCCCCTGAGCCCCCTCCCCCCACCCACCATTGCGGTCACACAACCCACCCCCTAGGCACATCTTTCCACAAACCAGCTGCCACTCGCTGACCACCTTTGTCACTTATGTGCCAAAAACAAGGATAAAGAAGCATAACAAATAGAAAACTCGCATACTGTAATATTAAGTACATACATGTGTTAAATACTGTTATTTTCAAAGATAAAACATTCACAATAATTGCACATATATCCAAAAAACAAGTGCCCCCCCCCCCCCCCCCCCCCCC